GCCGAGCTCCGGGGCGCCTCCGCGGCCAGCTGGACCACCCCGCAGGGCTTCCCACACCGGCAGAGCATCCCAAGGCCCAGCCCACCCCCGGCCCAGCCCGGACCTGACCAGCACTCAAGGGTCTGGCACCGAGGTCACGGGTCGGCGCCAGCGCCCCCTCCTCACACCCGAGACGCCGCCGCAGCGGCGCTCCCAGCGCGCTCCGAGCACCGGGGAGGAGGTGCGGGGAGCTAGCGCCGACCCAAGAACTCAACGCGGACCTCCGAAGGGGAGCAGTCCGAGAGGGAGGGAGGGACGGAGCGGAGGGACCGCTCAGCCAGCCCACCCCTGGGCCCAGCCCACCGCAGACCAGACTGGCATCGGGGGCCCACACCGAGGTCACGGGTCGGCGCCAGCGCCCCCTCCTCACACCCAAGCAAGACGCCGCCCCAGCGGCGCACCCAGTGCGCTCCGGGCGCCTGGGAGGAGGTGTGGGGAGGGAGGCCCAGCACCGCCCCGGGAACTCAACGCGGATCTCCGGAGGGGGGCCGTCCGGGAGAGAGGGAGGGAGGGGGGGACGGAGCGGAGGGACCGCTCAGCCAGCACATCCCGGAGCCCAGCCCACCCCAGACCAGACTGGCATCGGGGGTCAACACCGATGTCACGGGTCGGCGCCAGCACCCCTCACCCAAGACGCCGCCCCAGCGGCGCACCCAGCGCGCTCCAGACGCGTGGAAGGAGGTGTGTGGAGGGGGGCCCAGCGCCGACCCGGAATCTCAGCGCGGAAGAACTCGAGGGAAGAAGGGAGGGAGGGAAGGAGGGAGGAAGGAGGAGGAGAGGGAGGGAGGAGGAGCAGACGAATGAGGAGGACGAGGAGAACCAGGAGGAGGAGGAGGAGGAGGAGGAGGAGGAGGAAGGAGGAGGAGGAGGAGGAGGAGGAGGGGAGGGGAGAACCAGGAGGAGGTGAGATGAGGATGAGGATGAGGATGAGGATGAGGAGGAGGGGAGGAGGAGGAGGAGGAGGAGGAGGAGGAGGAGGAGGAGGAGAGGAGGAGGAGGAGGAGGAGGAGGAGGAGGAGGAGGAGGAGGAGGAGGAGGAGGAGGAGGAGGAGGAGGAGGAGGAGGAGGAGGAGAGGAGAGGAGGAGGAGGAGGAGGAGGAGGAGGAGAGGGAGAAGAGGAGGGGAGGGATAGGGAAGGAGGAGGAGGGGAGGAGGAGGAGGAGGAGGAGGAGGAGGAGGAGGAGGTGGAGGAGGAGGAGGAGGAGGAGGAGGAGGAGGAGGAGAGACCAGGAGGATGAGGATGAGGATGAGGATGAGGATGAGATGAGGATGAGGAGAGGATGAGGATGAGGAGGAGGAGGAGGAGGAGGAGGAGGAGGAGGAAGGGAGAGAGGAGGAGGAGGAGGAGAAGAAGGGGGAGGAGGAGAAGAATAAGGAGGAGGAGGAGGAGCAGGAGGAGAAGGGGGGAGGAGGAGCAGGGGAATGAGGAGTAAGATTGAGAAGAGGAGGAGCAGGAAGAGAAAGAGGACTCGCAGCAGGAGGGAGGGAGGGAGGGAGAGAGGAGAACGCGGGGCAAGCCGAGGAGGGAAGGAAGAGGGAAGAGGCGGAGGAGACAGGGGAGGAGGAGGAGGAGGAGGAGGAGGAGGAGGAGGAGGAGGAGGAGGAGGAGGAGGAGGAGGAGGAGGAGGAGGCGCAGCAGCAGCAGCATCAGCAGCAGCAGCAGCATCAGCGTCAGCAGCCCGAAGAAGGCAGAGAAGGAGGAGGAAGAAGATAGCGCTGGAGGACGAGAGCAGAAGGAGGAGGAGGAGAAGGAGGAGGAGGAGAAGAAGGATGAGGATGAGGAGGAGAAGGAGGAGGAGAAGGACCAGTATAGACCCAAGATGCACCAAAGATGCTGCACATCATTCCCCCCTCCAAGTTCCCTGTTTTGAGAATCCACAACCCTGCGAAAGCACGATTCTTGGGACTCCAGCGTCGCGAATCAACGTGACTGATGCGTACGGAAGTCCCAGGTCGCACCGGAAAGCCATGCCTGGGACATCAGCACCGCGAATCAACGTGACTGTTGCGTCTTGGCAGCCCTGGCTCGCGCCAGAACGCCAGTCATGGGACTTCAACTGCACACATCCCTGATCCTGCTGCAAACATTCGAGACGAGTGCGAGCGGCGAGGAGGCGAGAGCCACATGTTGGAAGAGGACTGCCCTCGATACCCGAAGCTACTGCAACCTTTTGGGACAGGTGTGCGCGAGCGGCGGCAGAGCGAGGGCCACACTCTGAGAACGGCCCGCCCTCCATCCATGAGGCTGCGGCAAGCTTCTAAGACGAATGGGCGGCGGCGAGAGGGCGAGAGCCACATGTTGGAAGAGGACTGCCCTCGATACCCGAAGCTGCTGCAACCTTTTGGGACAGACGTGAGCGAGCGGCGGCAGAGCGAGGGCCACACTCTGAGAACGGCCCGCCCTCCATCCATGAGGCTGCGGCAAGCGTCTAAGACGAATGGGCGGCGGCGAGAGGGCGAGAGCCACATGTTGGAAGAGGACTGCCCTCCATACCCGAAGCTGCTGCAACCTCTTGGGGCCCAGATGCGAGCGAGCGGCGGCAGAGCGAGGGCCACACTCTGAAAACGGCCCGCCCTCCATCCATGAGGCTGCGGCAAGCGTCTAAGACGAATGGACGGCGGCGAGAGCCACGTGTTGAAAAGCGGCCCGCCCCCCATCTTTGGCGCGGTTGCAGGATGTTCACACGCACTGTGCGCGGCGCCAAGCGAGAGCCGCATGTTGTGAAGACCATCAGCCCTCCATGCGCGAAGCTGTTGCAAACTTCCGACTGCAGGATCACGCATGGTAGGGGAGTCTCGGGAGAAAGACCTGGCCAGCCCTACCAACACGTCTGGGGGTCCGAATGGGAGAAGTTGTTCATAAGGGAAGAAGATGGAGGAGGTGGAGGAGCGGGAGGCAGGGGAGGAGGAGCGTCCAGCCCTACCAACACGTCTGGGGGTCCGAACGGGAGAATAAGGGAAGAAGATGGGGGAGGTGGAGGAGCGGGAGGCAGGGGAGGAGGAGCGTGGGAGGACGGTAAGGATGGGGGAGAGGAGGTGAGAGAGGTGGGAAGCGCAGCGACGAGAGGCCAAGCAGTTTGGAAAAGAACTAACTCGAGATGTAACCTCCTGCTGTGCTCCCGAGCCATTCCCGATCCCTCTCGTCTTGACCCTCCTCCTCCCCCTCCTCTACAATTACTCAATATGAATACTACTCTCCCTCTTCCCCCGAAGGCGGCCTGAAAGTAGCCGACCCCCCCCGCGTACTGTTTTTTTGACACAGGATTCCCGGGAGTTGGGTTTTCGCCTGCGTTTTTTTCAACATGCTGCTCTCGCTGAGGCGCCGGCCTCATTTCTGCTCCCGAATCGTTCCGAATCGTGCTCCCGCTGCAGCGTGGGCCTCATTTTCGGATCGGTGTTTTGCCTCCGTCGTTCAGGATGGCGTTCTCGCCCCAGCGCGGGCCTCTTTCTCGCGCGCCCATCCGCCCGCCACCACCGCGCCGCACCACGCCCCGCCCCGCCGCACGCACACCCACCGCCACTTCCACCCACCAACGCACGCACGCACGCACGCGCATCACCACCGCGCACCGCCACCACCACCGCACTACCCCACCCACCACCACCACGCTACACCGCGTCACACCACATCACACGCGCGCACACACAGACACACACGCACGCACGCACGCACGCACGCACGCACGCACGCACGCACGCACGCACGCACACGCACGCACACACGCATACACACGCCCACACACACGCACACACACACACACCACCACCGCCACCACCACCACCGCCATCACGCACGTACGCACCTGGCCCACCACCAAACCACCAAGACGCCACGTCACACCACAGCACACGCGCACACACGCACACACACACACATACACACCACCACCACAACAACCACAACCACGCACACACGCACGCACACACGCGCACCACCACCCACTACGCACACGCGCGCGGAGCCACAGGTCCGCTACGACACGCGTCCGCGGATATAGAGAAAATCAGCGCCATAGTAAGGGATGGGAGGAAGGAGTAGGATGTCAGATGTTGACGCGAGCGCACCTAACTTGTCCCCCTCCCCCTCCCCCTCTGCCTCCTCCTCCATCCTCCTTCTCCTCCTCCTCCCTCCTGCTCATCCTCCTCCTCCTCCTTCTCCTCCTCCTCCTCCTCCTCCTCCTCCTCCTCATCATCATCATCATCATCATCACCACCGTCACCAGCATCACCATCATCAGCAACAACGTCATAATAATAATCATCATCATCATCATCATCACCACCGTCACCAGCATCACCATCATCAGCAACAACGTCATAATCATCATCATCACCATCATCATCATCACCATCATCATCATCATCATCATCATCATCATCATCATCATCATCATCATCATCATCATCATCATCATCGTCATCGTCATCGTCATCGTCATCGTCATCGTCACCATCAGCATAGACGCCGCGGGGTCGCCCTGAGGGGGGTGTAATTAACCCGGAGGGGCCAATGCCTCGAGAACGCCGAAGGCCACCTACATATATCAACCGCGGCGGGAACCGATGACCCAGGACCCGTTGAGGCAGCGGACATAGATATATGCGGGTCCCCCAGCCCAGGAGCCCCAAGCTGTCCACCGCCTCGCGGAGCCCTGGGGCAATAGATCCCCGAGGCAGTGATGGTGCATAAACTCTGGCCTCGGATTCGGGCCACTGCTCTGGACGCCCGGAGTTGCCACTGAAGAAATTGGGCACGATGCCCAACAACAAGTATTGTCCAAAACCAGCAGCTGAGGCTGTTGGATAGGCGGCCTTCTGTCTCAAGTGGACAACGACCGCGGCGGCACCGGCACCTGTTCAACATGGACCAGAAGTGCTGTCGATGTTCGTCCCGTTTTTTCCGTACCCATCTCGACCGTACCGACCTGATTACCCTCTTTCCCCCACCCACCCCTGGGCACGGAATGACCGTCTGCGGGGTGTCTATCGTCGGCGTGCGGCCGAAAATGAAGCCGAAGTCGATGCGGAAGAGTCGACCTGCCCGGCACCCGGGACCCGAAGCGGCGCGAGTGCTCCGGGGATCCCGAGGGCGGCGGGAGCGGAGCAGCGGCAAGACTGGAGGTCGTGCTGATTCCCCTCCGCAACGTCGGCTATACGGGGGGGGGGGGCACGGGGGGGTAAGGGTAACATGGTGGAGCCCCGCGGGGAGGGGGGCCTGGGCGATGGACGACGACGACGACGACGACGAGGACGACGACGACGACGACGACGACGAGGACGAGGACGACGACGACGAGGACGACGACGACGAGGACGGCGAGGTTCCAGCGGAACGGGCGCAAAGGAAGCGAGGCGGCAGAGGACAGAATGGGCCTGGGCTGCAGGAGAAAGGTCAGGTCGGGCACGTCCCACTGCAGGCGTATTTGGCGGACAAAAAAATAAAATAGTCGAAAAAAGTTCAAAGATGGCGAACAAATACTTACAAAATCATCCCCAGGCTATTTGTTGACTATTCTTGAACCTTCCTCCTGTAGAGGGACATGCCCGACTTAAGAGGAAGGCCCCTCCGCAGTCCAGCGGCTGCAGGGGCACCGCGAGGCGCCCAACCCTTGGCGCTGCCTCTGCGAGGGGGAGAGGCCTGAGGGGCAGACGGCCTCCACCCCTGCACTGCCGAGCCAACACAGTCAGGGCAAGGGGGCCGATCGGTCGTTCATGGTCTCTGGGTGCCAAGGCACATTTGGCATTCCGTGCGGTCGATTCTGCTATTGTTGGTGGTGCTGCTGTTGTTGCTGCTGCTGTTGGTGGTGGTGTGGTTGTCGTTGTTGTCGTTGTCGTTGTCGTTGTCGTTGTTGTTGTTGTTGTTGTTGTTGTTGTTGTTGTTGTTGTTGTTGTTGTGGTTGCTGTTGCTGTTGCTGCTGCTGCTGCTGTTTGTGGTGTGTTGTTGCTGCTGCTGTTGTTGGTGTTGTTGCTGCTGTTGCTGTTGTTGCTGCTCCTGCTGCTGGCGTTGTTGCTGCGTTGTCGTCATCCTCGCCCGCAACCCGCCCGCGACCCGCCCCGCGACCCACGCCGCAGCCGCGACCCACCCGCGACCCATCCACCGCCCGCCCCGCCACTCATCTCCACAACTGCGGGGTGCTATGCATTTGTTTTCTGGAACCCAACTCGATGACGCACGCTTGTCAACCCTCAGCGTGCGCCTTGCCAGGCCAAGATACCATGCGTGCGCTGACCCAAACCCCGCTCGCACGGCGATGCGGGCGGACACGTGCGCGCTAGAAGACGCGACGGGCGCGAGGCGGCGAGGCGCACAGCTGTGCGCGGCAGGCTCTGGCACCGCGGGCCTGGGCTCCTGCCGCCGCGCGGACGTTTTGATGCTGAGCGCTCTCCGCTGTCGGAGGCGGGGGGCTGCCGAGCTGCCTCCGTGCTCAACCCGGAGGCCGCCTCACCCCTGGAGACTGCAGACCCCACCGTTCGTACGGCTTTGCCCCGTGGGTTGCTCCCCGTGGCCCGCAGCAGGCAGCAGAGCTCGAACGCCCGCGACATTGCCACGAGAGGGCCGCAGGCTGCCATGGGTCTTCGAACACTGAGCACCCGCTGCCGCCGCCGCAGCGGGACGGCGCGAGCCTGCTGTAGCGTGGACCACGCTTCCACGCGTGCTCCGCGGATGGTATCCCCAAGACTGGGCTGAAACAGGGCGGGCAGAGAGAACGCGTTTCGTGTCGGGCGTTGGCAGAACTGGGTCTAGTAGGATCTGGTTTAGTGATGTACTGGAGGACGCCCCCCCGCCCTGTTCCACTAACCGGAACTGCCGTCACCCGACAACAAACACCAGCTACGGCAGACCTGGTTTCGTGATTCTGGTAAATTTAGAAGCTCCAGGGCCCTTCTACTAACCAGGTCCCCTTACCTGGGGGCCTGGCTGCACCCGATTCGCGGACGCCTTCCTTGAACAAGTCCCTGGACACATCGGAGCCGCCTCCCCCTCCCCCAAAAACACTTGGCGCGCCCGGAGAACCGGGGGAGGGGGGGCCGGCGGCCTCTCTCACCGGGAGGGGGCCCCCCCCCTTCCAAGGACGGGGGGGTCGAAGCGCCCCATCCCACCCCTCCCCCTGTGCGACAGGGCGGGGTGGTCGAACTGCCCCCCCTCCTCTAAGACAGTCCGACTGATCCTGCCGAGGCTCGATCCAGCTTCGATCCGATCCAACTTCAAGAGCCTCCTAGTCGGGCTCGCTCCAAATCCTATTGGACCCCACAGCTGGATCCAGCTCAAACTGAAACCTGCGGAGGCTCGATCCAGCACGGATACCATTCCACAATCGCTGTCTCCAACTTACTAGCATCCTATAGTCGGGCTCGAATGAACTCCAGTATGATCCTACTATACTCCAGATTTCGTAATAAAGGGAGGGGGGTCTCATTTCGGGGGGGGTCTCTTCCAGGCTATCTTGGAGGGCCTGGGGGGGTCTGGGGTTCTCCCACGGGTTGGGTCTGAAATGGCTTGTCTTGGAGGGTCCAGACCCCCTCCCTTTTATTACGACATCTGGAGTAGCTGGATCCAGCTAAAAATCCTTCTCAAGCTCGATCGTCGTCGTCGCTGCCCGACGGCGCCGGCGCTGGCCGACGGCGCCGGCGCTCGCCGGTCGTCGCTTGCCACTGGGGAGGGCAGGGGCTGCCCCTCTGGTTCGAACTCCCCCCCCTGCGATTCAGGGTGGGGGGAGCCCCCAGTTCGAACCCCCCCTTCCCCCGAAGGGGGGGGGGGGGAGAGGGGCGAAATAAAAAACGAATTACGGCCGACTGGTCCCAATTCCAACCGTGCGGAGCGAATGGCAACCAGAAGTGAGACCAATTCCAACCAGAAATAAGACCAATGACAACCATGGATGAGATCTTCGGAATTCCTCAGGATTCCTTCGGATTCTTCGGAAATCCTCAGGATTCCTTCGGATTCTTCGGAATTCCTCAGGATTCCTTCGGAATTCCCCCGTTCGCTTGTTGGACCCCCCCCCCTCCCCCTTGCGATTCCCTGGTTTGGGGGGCCGCCGGGTGCACCCCCCCCCTGTCCAAGCGTCCACAGAGCGCGTTCTTTCGGAGGGCAGGGCCCACGAGCTTTCGCGCGGAAGTGGGGCCAGAGAAGGCCAGGTGAAGAGAAGAAGAATGAGGGCTTAGGGGGAAGAGGAGGAAGGGTGCGGAGTGAGAAAGACGGCGTGCAAGAAGGAGGGAAAGAGGCGGAGGAGGAAGAAGAGGAGAGGAGGCGGAGGAAAGGAAAAGAGAGGAAACAAAAAGAGGAGGAGGAGGAGGAGGAGGAGGAGGAAGAGGAGGAGGAGGAGGTGGAAGGAGGAGGAGGAGGAGGAGTGAGGAGGAGGAGGGAGGAGGAGGAGAGGAGAAGAATGGGGAAAAAACGACGGGGGCGGGGGGGAAGCCAGGAGGAGCAGGCAGGAAAAGCGAGGGAAGAGAGGAAACACGAAGAGGGGGAGAGGGGCGGCAGGACAGCACGAGGACGGGGGGGGGGCGGGCCGCCGTCTTCGGCAGCATGATGTTGTCGTCGTGCCCGTCGCGCACGCCGAGGGCCTCGGGGGGGGGGTGGGGGGGGGGGGCGGGCGGGCCGCGAGAGGGGGCAGGGGGGAGGGCGGCAGGGAGGGGGAGGAGGCAAGGAGGTGGAGGCACGGGGGAGGAGGAGGGGGGGAAGGGAGGATGGAGGAGGAGGGGGGGGACAGGACAGGGAGGAGGAGGAGGGAGGAGGAGAGGAGGAGGAGGAGGAGGAGGAGGAGGAGGAGGAGGAGGAGGGGGAGGACGAGGAGGAGGAGGAGGAGGAGGAGGAGGAGGAGGAGGTAGGAGGAGGAGGAGGAGGAGGAGCGGAGGATAGGGGGAGAGGGAGGAGGGGGGGACAGGGGGGAGGGGGGAGGGGGGAGGAGGGGGAGAGGAGGAGGAAGGACGGGGATGTGGAGGAGGAGGAGGAGGAGGAGGAGGAGGAGGAGAAAGAGGAGAATAAGAGGAGGAGGAAAAGGAGGAGGAGGAGGAGGAGGAGGAGGAAGGCGAAAAGGAAGGACGGAGGGGGACGAGGGGAGGAAAAGGAGGGAAAGGAGGAGGCGGAGGACGCCCGCACTCGACCTGGACGTGGTGGCCCGCTTCTCGTGATGGCACACGCGCTGGTGGACTGGTCCACGCGCGTCCTGCGAGCGGGGTCAATCAAAATTAACTCGCTCGCTGCGCCGCACGCGCGCGTGCTGACTTCCACAGACCTGGGCTTTCGGGCCACACTTGAATCTGGCGTCCAAAAGCGCGTCGCCATCGGAACAGAATCGTTGAGCCTGGATTCGCTGCGACGACGTTGGCTCTGGTGTCTGAGACCGCGTGAACTGTTCAACCCTGCACGATCGCCCCACTGCAAGGTCCCCCAAAAACTTCATCACGAACGCTTGCGTAGTGCGTCGCGCCGCTGATCTTGGCCCACAACGATTCGGCGCGACATGCTAACCACGTCCAGGTCCCCGAGCGTCCACGCTCCGAGCTCTCCCCAGCCGCCCGCGCCGCGGAGCCGAGCGATACGCCGCCAGCTGGCAGAGCAGTGCGTCGCCGGGGCCGCAACCGCGGCACGCTGAGCCAACGGCGTTCTGGCTCCATCCCTGTGGACCAGCGTGCCCAAACTTACGTCCGAGAGCGGCTGGATCACCCTCTCCCGGGCAGCTTCGCTTCAAGAAAGAAGGACTACATGATGAGAGCGGCCTGCGAGCTCGCCACACATACACACATAATGCAGCTCAAGCCCCACCAACGCCTACATCCTCTGGACTAGCTCCCTGTACTGGGCCGACCTTTTTGCTTAGCCCATCCCAGACACCATCCTCTGCTGCTTCGGCGCCAAGGCTCTTGGCAGCTGTATATATATATATATATATATGCATATATATATATATATTATATATATTATTATATATATATATATATCAGAGTGAGGGGGCTGAACCGAACGGCCATTCACTGTCCATGGGTGCGTGGCTGAAGTGGAATTCCGCGATGCGGGTTGTTGTTTTTGTTGTTGTTGTTGTTGTTGTTGTTGTGGTTGTTGTTGTTGTTGTTGTTGTTGTTGTTGTCGTTGCTGTTGTTGTTGTTGTTGTTGTTGTTGTTGTTGTTGTTGTTGTTGTTGTTGTTGTTGTTGTTGTTGTAAGTGTTGTTTGTTGTTTGTTGTTGTTGTTGTTTGTTGTTTGTTGTCGTCGTCCCACCCGCGACCCGCCCCGCGACCCACCCGCGCGCGACCCACCCCGCGACCCACCCGCGACCCACCCCGCGACCCACCCGCGACCCACCCCGCGACCCACCAGCGACCCACCCGCGACCCACCAGCAACCCACCCGCGACCCCGCCCGCGACCCACCCCAAGAGCCCCCCGGCGACCCCCCGGCGACCCACCCGCGACCCACCCGCGACTCATCCGCGACCCACCCCGCGACCCACCCCGCGACCCACCCGCGACCCACCCGCGACCCACCCGCGACCCACCCCGCGACCCACCCCGCGACCCACCCAAAATGTTCGGCGCATGCGGCGGGCTTCTTTCGCATTCGTTCCAGGCGGAGAACCTGCGACCCACCCGCGACCCAAACCGCGTTCAGTGCACAAATCAAAACTTTCGGCGCCTGCGGCGGGCCGTTTTTGAATTCCTTCCAAGTGGAGGTGGAGAGCCCGCGACCCACCCGTGACCCAAACTAAATTCACTGAACAACCCAAAACTTCGGCGCCTGCGGTGTGTTTCTTTTGCATCAGCGACCCACCCGCGACCCACCCGCGACCCACCTGAGACACACCCCGCGACCCACCCGCGACCCACCCGCGACCCACCGCGACCCACCCGCGACCCACCCGCGACCCACCCGCGACCCACCTCGCGACCCACCCAAAATGTTCGGCGCATGCGGCGGGTTTCTTTCGCATTCGTTCCAGGTGGAGAACTTGCGACCCACCCGGGACCCAAACCGCGTTCAGTGCACAAATCAAAACTTTCGGCGCCTGCGGCGGGCTGTTTTTGAATTCCCCCCAGGTGGAGGTGGAGAGCCCGCGACCCACCCGCGACCCAAACGAAATTCACTGAACAAGCCAAACCTTCGGCGCGTGCGGCGGTTTTCTTTTACATTCGTTCCGCGTTCACTGTACAAATCAAAATGTTCGGCGCCTGCGGCGGACTGTTTTTGAATTCCTTCCAGGTGGAGGTGGAGAGCCCGCGACCCACCTGCGACCCAATCTACGTTCACTGAACAAGCCAAAAATTTGGCGCCTGCGGCGGGCTGTTTTTGCATTCTTTCCGGGTGGCCCACCAGCGATCCCCGGACGATGAGGACGAGGACGCGGACGAGGAAGAGGAGGAGGAGGAGCAGGAGGAGGAGGAGGAGGAGGAGGGCGCCATCGACAGGGAAGGTGAGGGCCACGAGGTCCGCCGGCTCGACGCCCGCGTCGCCCGCGCCCGCCCCCTTACTCTTATCCGCAATTGCGGGGTGCTATATATATATATATATTATATATATATATATATATATATTATATACCCACCCCGCAATTGCGGATAAGAGTGAGGGGGCGGGCGCGGGCGACGCGGGCGTCGTCGAGCCGGCGGACCTCGTGGCCCCCACCTTCCTTGTCGATGGCGCTCTCCTCCACCTCCTCCTCCTCCTCCTCCTTCTCCTCCTCTTCCTCCTCCTTCTCCTCCTCCTCTTCCTCGTCCTCATCGTCATCGTCATCCTCCTCCTCCACCTCGTCCTCCTCCTCCTCCTCTTCTTCCTCGTCCTCCCTCTCCCCCCCTCGTCTTTTCATCATGGTCCTCCCATTGTCGTCCTCCCCCTCATCGGCCTCCATCATCGTCCTCCCATTGTCGTCCATCATCATCATCCTCCCCATCCTCCCCCTCCTCGCCCTCTTCCTCCCCCTCCTCCCACTCCTCCCCCTCGTCCTCCTGTTCCTCCTCCTTTTCTTTCTCCACGTTCTCCTTACATCCTCTCTTCTTCCACGTTCTCCTCGTCCCCTGTTTACTCATCCTGCTTCCCCCTCCTTTCCCAAGATAACTGCAACGCAATCCTTTTTTCCACTTTATGCTCCCCGCCTTCTCTGATCAAGGCAACTCGCCAGGGCAAAGCTGCTGGACGGGCTGGCGTGGATGCGCGGGGCGTGAAGAAGTCCTTGCGGGCTCATACGGCATGCAAGAATCCGCCGCCGCGCTTGTGCGGCATTGGTTTGTTCGGTGAACGTGGTTTAGGTCGCGGGTGGGTCGCGGGCTCTCCACCTCCACCTGGAAGGAATGCAAAAGCAGCCCGCCGCAAGCGCCAAAACAATTGGTTTGTACACGGAACGAGGTTTGGGTCGCGGGTGGGCCGCGGGTTCTCCACAGGGAACGAATACAAAAGATGCCCGCCGCAGGCGCCGAAAATGTGGTTTGTACCCTGAACGTGGTCGCGGGTGGGCCGCGGGCTCTCCACCTGAAGCGAATGCAAAATATGCCCGCCGCAGGCGCCGAAAAATGTGGTTTGTACCCTGAACGTGGTTTGGGTCGCGGGTTGGTCGCGAGTTGGTCACGGGATGTGTCCCGGGCTCTCCACCTGGAAGGATTGCAAAAAGCCCGCCGCAGGCGCCGAAAATTGTGGTTTGTACTTTGAACGTGGTTTGGGTCGAAGGTGGGTCGCGGGTGGGTCGCGGGGTAGGTCGCGGGTGGGTCGCGGGTGGGTCGCGGGTGGGTCGCGGGTGGGTCGCGGGTGGGTCGCGGGGTGGGCCGCGGGGGGGTCGCGGGGTGGGTCGCGGGGTGGGTCGCGGGGTGGGTCGCGGGGTGGGTCGCGGGGTGGGTCGCGGGGTGGGTCGCGGGTGGGTCGCGGGTGGGTCGCGGGTGGGTCGCGGGGCGGGTTGCGGGTGGGACAACAACAACAACAACAACAACAACAACAACAACAACAACAACAACAACAACAATCATTTTACCCGAACGCTCAGTGTTCTCCCCAGTGCCAGGGTTTTCTTGCGACACCAGCCAATACCCCCACTTCGTGGGGGGGCCGTTCAAGCTCTACCAAATATCCAAACGACTCTTCGAGACCACCCACACCCAGCTTCCCGCCCTATGACGTTGGGACACTTCACTTCGTGGCGTGCGGACGACCCTGGCTACTACACTGGCGTGGGGTACACACCCACAGAGGTTGATCATATGTTTTCTGAACATCGCATCTTGAAATTATTGAAAACCCATTGTGTTTGGCAGGATTTCGACATGCGCGCGCGGCGGCCGCGCGCATGTGCACTTCGTCTCATTTTTTGCAAGGGATGGTGGCCCTCGCAGGCGCGCAACCGTTGTTGGAGAAGTTCAAAGCACCTGAAGAAGTAGCACGCAAAGACCCTTTTGACAGAAATGTTTAAAAAGTGGTGTGTTTCCTATGAATCCGCAAGAGCGCGCGGAAGGACATTTTGACAATTTTTTCTTAAAAAACCATTGGGTTTTTGATGTTTTTATGTTAAAATCGCTACGAAACCTAAGGTTTTGGAAGGATTTCGTCTTGCGAGCGCGAATGTCCACTTTACCTTATTTTTTGCAAGGG